TCGGAAGCACTGAGGTGGTGCTCAAGACCACAGAGTTGATCCAGCAGGTCCGTACGCCGACAGGAGGCGTTCGGATTTGGAGTTTCAGGTGGGCGATATGGTCCTCCTGAAGGTATCACCCTGGAAGGGTGTTATCAGGTTCCGAAAGAGGGGCAAGCTGGGCCCCAGGTTCATTGGTCCTTTTAAGGTTTTGTCCCGAGTAGGTCGGGTCGCCTATCGGTTGGATCTTCCAGCAGAGCTTAGCCAGATCCACAACACTTTCCATGTTTCTCAGTTGAGGAAGTGTTTGGTGGACGAGTCAGCGGTTGTACCCTTGGAGGATATTCAGGTTGATAACAGCCTGAATTATATCGAGAGACCAGTTGCGATCTTGGATCGGAAAACGAAGACTCTGAGGAACAAGGTAGTCCAGGTAGTGAAGGTGCAGTGGCAGCACCGAAAGGGTTCAGAGTGGACGTGGGAGGCCGAGGAGGAAATGAGGGAGCATTATCCAGAGTTGTTTATAGATTCAGCAGAAGCAGACTTCGAGGACGAAGTCTAAGATAAGTGGGGGAGAGTTGTAACGCCCCATTTCTGGTATGTGATTTAAATAAAGTAATTTTCATTTTCTTAAGGGATACTCGACGAGTCTGTAGCCCAGCTCGTCGAGTAGAGACGGGTTGATCACGCGTATTAAGTTGGCTACTCGGCGAGTCCATATGCTGGGACTCGGCGAGTCCGCTTGTCTGGATGAAGACCTAATTTTAAGGGTCTGCACCCTATTTAAACACATTTATGCGCCCCAACCTCGCCTCCATCACCCTCAGAACATTTCTTATAAAACCCTAGCCTCCTTAAAGAGTGTGTGAGTGGTTGTTGCCTTGTGAAGGAACTTTTGGTGCATTTTGGAGCAAGTAGAAGAAGGAGAAGGTTGAAGAGTTCAAGGAAGAAGAAGTAGATCCGGGACACACTCCTTTGTGGTCATCTTTTCTGGTAATAAAGTCTCCATCTTGTTTATTGATCTAATAGATCTAGTTTGTCCCCAAAATTGTTGATATTAAGCTCAAAAACCCCAAATCTCTTGTAATAAAGCCTTATGATCGAGTTATACTTCAGATCTAGCCCCTCTTGAACTCCAGGAGCTCATTATAGCCACCTTTATGCAATCTTGGCCTTGTTCCAAACCCTAAGTGCTTAGTAGTTGATGATTTTGGGTATTTTAGCCTCATACCCTTGTGCATGCACGTAAAGTTGGAAACTTTACGTGTAAAACTAGTCCTAGAAGCTCAGACCTATGATTTAGAAGCACTGAAATCGATTAGAATCGACTGTATAGTAATAGCATGCTTGGGACTCGGCGAGTTGTTCTTCAGGCTCGACGAGTTGTTCTTACGACTCGGCGAGTCGCAGACTGGACGTGTTCATATGATGAAGGAGAACTCGACGAGTTGTTCATATAACTCGGCGAGTCGGATGAAGCTAGACTCGATTTATGTATCGAAGAAGAACTCGTCGAGTCTTCGCCAAACTCGACGAGTAGAAGCGAGTAGAGGACTAGAACGGATGAAAGGGACTCGACGAGTTGGCGGCCCAACTCGGCGAGTCCGGTCAACTGGGAGTTGACTTTGACCAGGAAGTTGACTTTGACCGGGGGTAAAATAGTCATTTCACCCTCAGTTTAGTTATCAATATTTGATTGAGTATATTTATGGGAATTGTAGCCGGGGAGATACCGGAGCAGCAACAGACAGTTCCCGAGTAGCTTTTTCACCATCCAGCTTACGAGGTGAGTTTCCTTTTAGTAGGAACGGGTCTATGGCCACAATGCCGACCCGTTTAGTTAGCAGTAGTTCCGGACGTCGGTCCGATGCAGTAGTTTAGTGTGCTTGAGGTCTTTATGATTCAAGCATGTCTTTGTGTTATGTGTTCCAGACTTCGGTCCGATGCAGTATGCAATATATGTGTTTAAGCCAGTAGTTGCGATGATGCTATGTTATGTTCAGTCAGTTCCGGACTTCGGTCCGATGCAGTTTCCGGACTTCGGTCCGATGTAGAGGGCAAGGCCCTGGTTAGTTCCGGACTTCGGTCCGATGCAGTTTCCGGACTTCGGTCCGATGTAGAGGGCAAGGCCCTGGTTAGTTCCGGACTTCGGTCCGATGCAGTTTCCGGGCTTCGGTCCGATGCAGAGGGCAAGGCCCTGGTTAGTTCCAGACTTCGGTCTGATGCAGAGGGCATGACCCTGGTCAGTTCCGGACTTTGGTCCGATGCAGTTTCCGGACTTCGGTCCGATGCAGTGGGCAAGGCCCAGTAGTTGTTTTATATGTTATTGTATGGTATGTGGTAGTTTGGGGGAACTCACTAAGCTTTGTGCTTACAGTTTCAGTTTTGGTTTCAGGTACTTCCGCTAGCAAGGGGAAGAGCTCGGGATGATGGCATGGCACACACCACATCTTCAGTTTAGCCTGGGAGTTCACTCTGATAGTTTTGATATGATTTGACACATTTTCTGATTTGATACATTGATTATAACTTTTTGAGATACACGTTCCATGATTTTATGATATGACATTTGATGTTGTGATTTTTAGTAATGCTGAAACAAAAATTTTTGGGTCGTATTTTTGGGTTGTTACATTATGCATGATAATACGTTTGTTGTATCAGATATTTTGGGGGAAACTCACTAAACTTTATGCTTACCCAATTGTTTATGTTTTCAGGTTCTATCGTTGATCGTGGGAAGACGAAGGCATGACTGTACACATTTATCAATAGTATTGAGGATTCCGCGTTTCTTATATTATTTTGATTTTCGATAAATGTATTTTGGAATAAACGTTTTTCTTAATAATAAATTTATAATCAGGGACTTTTGCCTTATTTAAAAATGAAAATTTTTTGTTGTGAAAATGAGACGTTACACATAAACATCAACAACCCAACACACTTCATTAATGATTGTCTCATATTCATAAGTACTGAATGAGTACAAAAACAAAAATGACTTATTTTGAAACAAAAAAATATTAAAGAATAAATGTGTACAAAAATATTAAGGACTAAATGTGTACAAAATGAGAAATATATTACCCTATTAAGTCATTTTTCCGACTAACCTGGAGTAACCGATCATAAGGACTGAATGTGTACAGTTTAACAAGTTGAAGGGATAAATATAGACGAAAAAAAAAACTCAGTGACCAAACGTGTACAAATCAAAAAAATATAGACAAAACTTCAAAAATGGTCCCTGTGGTTTCACAAAATCTGAAGTTTGGACCCTAATTTACTAAAACCTCACGGATGGTCCATGTGGTTTCAAAACTTTTAATGTTTAGTCCTTCCGCCTAACTCCTTCAGCTTTCTACCGTTAAGTGAGGGGCATTTTCGTCATTTCAATACCCAGGGACCATTTATGAGGTTTTCTCTATTTAACAAAAAAGAAAAAAATATAATTATTTAATATTAAAGGGTCTCTCTATCTCTCTCAAAAACACGTACACACAAACATAAACATCTCTCCACCTTGATCATCTGATAATCATCTTCGTTATTAAAGTATCTACCACCACCATCATCGCGTAAGAAACCACTGATCCCCTTCTCTCTATCATGTGTTTTAGTTTCTCTTAATAGCTAGGTTTTGATAATTTTGAAAAGTGATGTCTAATATTAATATGGTGAAGCTGTGAAACAAGAAACAACCAGGTTGGGGCGTAAACGAATTGAAGTCATTGGGGAATTTCCACAAACAGTTGGTGTGCAACTTAAGAAGTTTTACCATGGAATCTTTGCTTTTACTTCTAATTGAAATCCAACTTGTAGGTGGACTCAATACACAAAAATGTACAATCAAGGAAAATGAAAATATACATATAAAAACGAATTTATGATTTCTTGAATCAATCGCTTATACCCATGTGTAAGGAATCAGTCATGGGTTAAAACACAAAACAGAGAAACATAGTGATCTTATTTCCTTTCAATTGCGTTTCCGGGGATCCTCTGTAGATTGTCAACGAAGATAGAAGATGATTCTACAATCGACAGAGTTACAGAGGCGGTGTTGTTCATAAACGAATCATCGATAACAGGTGGTTAATTTGTGGGGTTCAACCCACAAATCATTGATTTAAGATCTGAAAGGTTATAATGAATAGAATCAGAAAGCAAGCTGAGATAACCCATCGTCGTTCCCCAAAACAACCTCCAGATGCTCGATCTTTTTCGCAATATCAGCCATATCATACGACTTAACTTTGTAACCAAGCACCGCCAACAGCTCATCAACGTTGGCATCTTGCTCTTCAACCTCATCCCACAGATTCGATTTCCCGATCACATCTGAAAAAACAGAAGCAGAAGCAGCAGCGGTGGAGGCGGAAGTGAAACTGTTGCCATTATAGAAGGTGTAATCTTGTTGTGGGTAATCTCGTTCCATTTTTTCTTCTTCTTGGAAGAATTTGAGCATTTGTTGGGCGATGGTAGTGCTAATGATTATACAGGGATAGCGAGGATGAAGAAGAGAGAAGTGGGCTCAAGATCTGTGCACATGTCTCGAAGAGAGAGAGAGAGAGAGAGAGAGAGAGAGAGAGAGAGAGAGAGAGAGAGAGAGAGAGAGAGAGAGAGAGAGAAAGAGAGAGGGGGTGGGTGGGACCCTTTAATTAAATAATTATATTTTTTTTCTTTTTTTTTTAAAATAGAGAAAACCTCATAAATGGTCCTGGGTATTGAAATGACGAAAATGCCCCTCACTTAACGGTAGAAAGCTGACGGAGTTAGGCGGAAGGACTAAATATTAAAAGTTTTGAAACCACAGGGATCATCCATGAGGTTTTTGTAAATTAGAGACCAAACTTCAGATTTTGTAAAACCACAGGGACCATTTTTGAAGTTTTGTCAAAAATATATTACCTTTTTTTAAAAAGTCATTATCCTTTCTTTTGCCGATACTTTGGAAGGTTTGACAGAGAAAATGATTGGAAACAACAAATAGGCTCTGTTGGTGAAGGTCGATCATAATGAAGAAGACAATCGCAATTGGTAAAATCAATTTTATGTGGGTGGAGGTTGTGTTTTACGTATTGGAGGTGTATAAAAATACACAGAGAATGCGATATATAAGGTAGATATTGAAATCGATTTCAAATATGGATATAGAATCTGAGAAAATTTTGTGGATGCCCACAGCTATTTTATTGGGATTTAGATGGAAATAAGATAACTGGCGTCGTTATTCATCCGGTTTCACTTTTTCCCTCTTCCGTCGACTGAAAAAACTTCTAGCCTCTTTCAACGCATCGAAAGTAAGTTGTATAATCGGTGAGATTTTGATTATTGTTTTTCGTGTGAAATTGTATTTGATTTTTAACAAAACATCGCTTAGGGTTCTACATATCAGTTTTGACCTAATTTTTTGGGATTTTGTTTGAATGTAGGTAAAATGACTGACATCACGGCAGAATTGAATGAGGTATAGTAACGATTAGAGTTTGGATGATCTTGTTCCTGAAAGTGATATTCCTTTATTTTTATTGTTATCCAGATAACTCCTATCAAGGATGAAACGGACGCCCACATAAAGGAATCGGAACAATATATGCATCACTGCATTAGGAGGATGGACAGTTTACCAGATCGCCATCCAGAGAAGGAGACATTGATTGAAAGATATACTGATGCTTATGTCATGAAAAAAATGAAAAAACTGTAAGTTTAGAACATTATCTCTTTTTATCATTAAGAAATTCCTAACCTTTTTTGTTATTTTTCTTTCAGATACCTACCGGATAAAGAAAAATTAACCAATAAAGCATTGAATCTCATGAAAGTCAAAAATGTTTGTGACCGCATAATTGGATTGCCCAATGGGCCTACAGTACAGCCCATTTCAAGCTTTCAAATCTTGTGTTACACAAGGATCTCAAGGTGGAGAAAAATTAAATATAACATAGACTTTAATATAACCATTTTTGGGATATAACTATAACACATTTTTTTGTATATATATTATTGCTGTTCATACATGGTTCGAATTATCATAATAAGTTGAACTTTTTTTTGTTTGTTCATTGCGACTTGATGTTGTTAGAATCAATTTTTGTTTGAAGGCAACACTGACAACGAAATCAGAGCCCTATGAAATACTATACATTTAATCAATAGACACACAAAATAGAAATTTCAACAAAATGTCAAATAAATCACTGAAATAATTAACTACACTCAAATCTTTGTGATGCCCTTCAACCGTGTTCTTACTTTCTAGCTGTTACGCCATAGAAACCTGATGAAAGAGATAAATGATTTCTTTAACTTCTTTTCAAGTCTTGATCAATGGATTTCTTTCAAAAAAGTTTGAAGGCTTTAACTCGAATCCATTAGATAATGTTGACATCACTGGGAAATCTTCTTGACAGGGGTTGTGATGAAATCCCACAGTGTACCACAAAACTATATCTTTGTTCATAATCGATCTATTCCTGCAACACCAAAACACAATCTTTAATTCAAGAAACTTTACTTTAATTAAAAAAAAAACACAAAATTTTTCAAAAACAAAAAGAACCTTCGGCTCCAAACAGATAACCCATCTTTTCCTGTGCTCCTATCAGCATAAAACCCTGCAGCCCATCTCTCGGACTTGTTATAACTAGTCACCCACACTTGATACTTAGTGTAAGAAGCTCTAATTTGTGGATAATCATCATCCAATAATAAAGAGACAGCTGGCTGCCCTGTCATCACCCGATACCCAACATCATTTCCCAATTTGGTCTTCTTATTTGTGTTCACCACTAAAAGTTCGGATGCCTTCAACCCGAGCCTAATTCTTGCTTCATTTTCGGTTTTGGCAGTCTCCTTAACCACATTCCAGTAACTCTTCCTTGGAGATGTGTTGACTTTTTTGACTTTTAAATTTGCTTTTACAAAAGAGTTTTCATCGCCATCAATGTCAAGGTCGAGATAGTATGTTATGAAGTGATCATGGTTGTTTCCTATTCTGTTGGTTGCTACTAGTGGTCCATAGGTTTCTTCTTTGATTTCTTTGGCTTTTGTGTATCTTGTTGCTTTCATTTCCAAAACACCCGTAAGTCCTACCTTCAAGATCAATATAATTTGAATTTAGATTAAATTTATTGGAAAATGGGAAAATTATAAGACTATAACAAAATGCTTATCTCACAAGACAAATGCCCCGTTTTTTTTCCTATCAAGTCCGGAATGGATAATTTATACAATGTTGTTGATATATATATTAAAATTTTAATAGGAATTCAAGAAAACTAAATATACAATCATGACTTAATGTTAAGGACACCCAATTCCTAATTTAATCCACTAGGACATTTTGTTAGCATTAAATTAAAAAGAAACAATCATATATAGACGAACCACTAAGTTTTTTTATACATTAATCCATTAAGTAAAAAAAAACAACACCTAAAATATAGTCAAACTGTTTAGGAATCTTACTCTCACCTTAACTTTTATGGAGCCACTTTGCTTGAACTCCCAATCAAGAATGTAATCATAGTTTCCTACTGTGGCTACCATTCTGACTACAAGACTAACTTCTGCTTCTCCACTTGTTATCTACATACACATAACACAATTACACAAACATCATGCTAATAATAAACATCATAATTCATGAATAATCAACTTTCAAAATAGGAAATTTTATTGAAAATGATAAAAGTTTACCACTTTTCCTGGAATACCAATTTCAGTATGTCTCCAAGCAATATCTCCAGCATACCTTTCAAATATACAGATAGCTTTAGGCACTTCTTGAGGCATCCCATCTGCCCCACTCATATACCCATCAATATAAACCGAATTACTTGGACAATCTGTTAAATTCACAAGTGTTACAGCAGATCTACCAAACCCAAATTCACCTACATCCAAAAAAGTCCTGTAATACCATTCACTACTTGGATCCATATATGGAACAAACGTTTCTGACACGTGTCCTCTATACATCACCCTCCTCCATTCGTTTTTCCCAGAATCAAAAACCGATGCAGTTGATATAATCACTCCCGCACGTGCGTTAAACCCCACGTGAAATCTCCAATTCTTCCAATTAATTTCGTTTCTTTCAATCGTGAATCCTTTTTCATGAGTTTTCTCACAATCGACGTTAGGATCATAACTTTCACTAGAACTTTGTAAATCAGTACCTTCACCTCGAGGCAAATGAGTTCTTCTACTTCCGATGTCTACAATTTTCTGAATTTTCATCGACTCGATGTCTACTAAAATGGTTAAACCTTCGATAGGTCTTGAGAAAACATTAGTGGTTCCTTCATGGTAGAAACACGATAATTTAACAGCTCTTTTAGTGACGGATTCTCCAAACCATCCTATAGTGAATGGAAAACACGTGATTTCCGATATGTTTAAGCCTCTTTTTGAGATCAAAGCTTTGAATTTAGAGCTTTTGAAGGGTAATCTTGCTGCTTGAAGTAGCTCAGTGAAGGTATTTGGAGGGTAGCCATCGCCTGTATAAACATGGTCTGATGTGATGGAAGAAGTGGTCAAATCTATGATGAGTTCATGGGTTTGACCACCACCACGAATCACAATCATGGCTTCTCGATAAGGGAAAGACTGGTTTTGTTTGTGGGGAGATGAGAGCCATTGGATTACGTCTTTTTTGTTGGGTTCATTGAGATCAACAAAATGGAAGGTTAGATTTGGAAGAGAAGAAATATGAGAGTTTGTTATGATACGTTGGATTTGGGATAATTCGTTAGGAGTTAGAGGATCTAAAGGGTGATGTTGGCTATTGGTGAATAAAACATGGAATGTAATCAATAAAATCATTATGAAAATAGCCATCAAGGAAATGAGATGTTTGTAGAATTGTAGTTTCAGTGGATTTATTCCAAGTTCTTGAAAGATATGGTCAATATGTTGTGTTTAGTTGCATATTTTATGTTTGAGTTGATAAATGATATAATGATATTGAGCTGGTTTTGCTTTGTGGACAAGTCTCATGCATATGCTAGTTTAGCTTAAGGTTGAAGCAGAGAGAGCGAGTATGGGGATATTGGAATGATGTCTATAAATGAGTTTTAATTATTATTATTTTTTGATATTGAAGATCAAGAATCACTTGAATATGGAGATATTCACAGCTCACAAGAACAGTTTTTCTTTTTTTAAGTACAGGGTCCTAATAAAATATTTGGATTTGGAAAAAAAAAAAATTGAAAGTAAGATGCAATTTGAATGTGATTGTATTTAATTCTATAAGTTGTACAAGCATTTAATGTGTATGGAAATAACACAAAAATGTGACCAAATATGTATTTGGTCACTAAAATGTATCGTGCATGGTGTGGCGGATTGGTACATTAAAGAGGTAGTAAAAGGAGCTTCGAGACTTGTACATCTTGCGACAGTTTGAAAAATGTTGCTAAAAGTTGGTAAGACCCGAATTACCACATCACATCAAACGGGTTTGACCATTGGATTTTAAAATACCCCTCGCAGGGCAAAATTTGGAAATATAGAAAAATTTCACCATATATTGATCATATACATCACAAATTAACATCAGAAAATCTATATTTATAAAACATTTAAAAGTGTCAAAATGTTTAATAATAAGGTACGATTGATCACACAATATATACTTTCATTTCCTCAATCATCCCTGTCACCTTACAACCATTTGGGAAGCTAGTAAGTTTTAATGTTTTATAGGGATTAGACTCAATCGTTTAAGTTTGGTGGGGGTGGAGAGAATTCATTGTTTTAAACGTGGTCAAAGAAATACATCACTCATCTATTTGTACTATCTTAGGGGTAAAATGTTCAAAAAGCTCAAAATTTAACTAAGCCTTTTATGCAATCCGAATTTAGATAATTGGAAATATAAACCCTCCATATGAAATAAATCACACCTAACACCTAACACCCACCACCGCCCACCTAACTTGGTATTTTATTATCCCATATAATTCTTCATCTTATTGATATAAAAACATGTTAAAAACTTAACTTTTGAAATATATAACTTACTTTAAAAAATTAGAGTAATGAATCATGTATGTTTTGTATTGGACCAATGATGCTTCAAACTTATAAAATATATATATCAAAATATAAAAATGGAAAAAATTGGTTGATTTATTATGAAAAACTTTGTTGTTAGAAAGTATGTTTCTATCTTTAGTTGAATATAGTTGAATTTTATGGATTGTTATAAACTAGATTATTATTTTTGGTTGAATTTTGTTGAATGTTATAAAGTATGTTGTTATATTTAGTTGAATATAGTTGAATTTTATTGATTGTTGTAAACTAGATTAGTAATGTTGGTTGAATTTTGTTGAATGTGATAAAAGAGGTTGATATGGTTTGTTGATATTTGTTGAAGATTTGTTTGTAGGTTGGTGAAGAGAAATTTTTTGGTCTTACACCATAAATTAATTTAATTGACATTTCGAAAAAAGAAAGAATATATTGTGTTCTTTGCGAAGTAACTAAATCCTTGTCGTATACATAATCTCTAACTGTTTCAAGTTTTATTAAATTGAGTAAATTACACGAATGGTCCCTATGGTTTGAGGTAATTTGCACGCTTGGTCCTTAACTTATTTTTTTAACTCGTAAGGTCCATACTGTTTGTTTTTATTACGCTCTTGGTCCGTACCGTTTGTTTTTGTTTCGCGCTTGGTCCTTGTCTTACCTAAAAAGACTATTATTTAAATAGAAAAAAATGGTGGGGTAAGTAAGGTAAGGTGATGAAATGGGGTTGGTGGTGTGTTTATTTAAATAAATTAAAAAATCAAAGACAAAATAATATTTTTAGGTAAGACAGGGACCAAACGTGTAACACAAAGAAACAGTAGGGACCTTCCAAATTAAAAAAATAAAAAAATAAGTCAGGGGCCAAACACGCAAATTATCCAAAACCATAAGGACCATTCGTATAATTTACTCTATTAAATTTACCTGTTATTTTCAAAATTTACTATCAATTTATTATTCATCATAGGTGGATAAATATAATAGGTAGCATGAACGAAAAATTAAGCAAAATATCTTAGTGAGTTGCCACCATTATTAATGATGGCTTGGTATTAAACCCGTGCAGAAATAGAGATTGATTTTTGACCTTATTGAAAGTATGAGCAAGACATTAGGTTATGATTCTCAAACTATTAAACATAATACCGACATTTAATTCAATATATTTTTAAAGAGTTATATACTATTTATAAAACATGATCTACATGAGAAAACGGTAATAATAGTACATGAATGTCGTTTTTGGTGCGTCTTCGTCAAATTTTTGTCAAAAAAAAAAAAAAATCTAAAAATCATATTGGTTGGTTTTGAAATTTTTACAACTAAAATCGATCAATCGTAATGGTCTTTACACGGGCTATCAATTTATATCAGCACAAACTATATGTTTTGAAGTAGCATAATAGATTAGTTTTGATATTTGAAAACTATGGCAAAAGCAACCAACTATTTCATGTTTTAGCTATAGGGATAATGAATTAAAAATGTAATACTCCCTTTGTCCTAATATTATTGTCCACAGACAAAAAACACACATATTACGAAAAACATTAATTACCACTAACTTTATTTAATAAAATGACAGTTTTGTCCTTACTTTGCATTTAATGTTTCATTAAATGCTTAGTTGATTAAGTAATAATGATGAGATATTTTGGTAAAAATGTTATTTATTTTTAGAAGTGGACTATTATTTTGGGACAAACCAAAAAGGAAAGATGAACTATAATTTTGGGACGGAGGGAGTATATTTTTCGATTTTTACACATTTGGTCACTGAGTTTTTTTTCGTCCATATTTACCTCTTCAACTTGTTAAACTGTACACATTCCGTCCTTATGACCGGTTACTCGAGGTTAGACGGGAAAAATGACTTAATAGAGTAATATATTTCTCATTTTGTACACATTTAGCCCTTAATATTTTTATACACATTTAGTCCTCAATATTTTTTTGTTTCAAAATAAGTCATTTTTGTTTTTGTACACACTCAGTACTTATGAATGATTTCTTTAGGTTTTTCTCTCGATATCTTACGTGGGACAATCATTGATGAAGTGTGTGGGGTTGTTGATGTTTATGTGTAACGTCTCATTTTCACAATAAAAATTTTTCATTTTTAAATAAGGCAAAAGTCCCTAATTATAAATCCATTATTAAGAAAAAACGTTTATTCTAAAATACATTTATCGAAAATCAGAGCAATATAAGAAACGCGGAATCCTGAATAATGTTGATGAGTGTGTACAGTCATGCATTCGCCTTCCCACGATCAACCATAGAACCTGAAAACATAAACAAGTGGGTAAGCACAAAGTTTAATGAGTTTCTCCCAAAATACTCGATACAACAAACGTATTATCATGCATAACGGGCCCACACTCATCAGAATGGAATACATTGGACCAATCAGTCATCGGACTGGAATGCCAACATGCAACAGGTCCAATCAGTCATCGGACTAGAATACGCAGGGTTTGCCGGCATGCCGCCTTAACCCAACTGCTCTTCTCAAGCCTCCGTGCCTACGTCTTACAGCCGACCTGCACCAGGTGTCTTGGCCTACAGCATATAGCAGGACCACCTCAATCTATCCTACCACCATATGGTTATCCCACGTAAGATGTCGTGAGAAAAACCTAAAAAAATCATATTATAAGTATTGAATGCGTACAAAAACAAAATGACTTATTTTGCAACAAAAAAATATATTAAAGACTAAATGTATACAAAAATATTAAGGACTAAATGTGTACAAAGTGAGAAATATATTACCCTATTAAGTCATTTTTACTGGCTAACCTGGAGTAGCCGGTCATAAGGACTAAATGTGTACAGTTTAACAAGTTGAAGGGGTAAACGTGAACGAAAAAAAAGTCAGTGACTAAATGTGTAGTAAAAAAAAAATACCCTTTTAAGTCATTATCCCTTAGCTATAATGGTACAAGATATTTTAACTGTCCAAGCTAGTAATGTAGATGCAGAAAGTTGTTTTTCTTTTATAGTCAAGATAATAAGTTCAAAAAAGATTTTATTAACATGATTCTATTCAAGTAGACTTATACTTCTAGGGGTGTACAATAAATCCAAAACTGAAAACCCAAACCATTTTAAAAAACCGACAATTTTGTTTTTCGTTCCATAAAAAACTGATTTTCAGTTTAATTTTATTTTATAAATATAAACAAACCAAATGACATACCTAAAATGATGTCATTTATGTATATATTTATTTATTAAATATGTTGAAAATTAAAACAATTATCAAAGCATTTATAGTTTTATTAAAATAAAATTAATTAGTATGCTTTACATAGTTTTGTATTATATTATAGTTAGTTACTTTTTTATTAAAAATTTTAGTAGTTTATAAATTGTTAGTTTGAATTATTATGAAACAGTATGAATTGTAACAGTCTTGATGTTTATTTTGATAAGTCTTAATAAAAGGTATTAATTTGCTATCAAAATCTTGTTAATTCATATATTGTGTTTCACTTTTGTATGTTTTGAATAAACTTCCAAAATATTTAATTATGTTTAAAACTCCAAAGTCAGTCGTGTTTTTGGAAGTGAATGTTTGAATTAAAGACTGTCATGAGTATTGATTGATTGATTGGAGTTGTTTGGGCATTTCAATTGAAATGGTGCTAATACGGTATGAGTACTTGAAAATAGACATTTTAAAGTATTAGAGCAACCCGCACTTAGAGATTACTTCATGGATCTAGTCACGAGTAATTCTTGAGCGACAATATCTTTTATTCTTCAAACCAAGATACATATGTGTTTTGTTTACAAAATCTATTGTGCATTGGTGTGCTCCAACGCTATCCATAACTGGTAGTCATAAAGGGCATTTCCATATATG